TTGTCATTTCATTAGACAAAAGATTGATTACAAATGCATAGCCAACGGCTTTGTTAGCTCGAATGACAAGCTAGCAGATTTTCTTACCAAGTTCCTCAGCGGAGCACGGATAGACTAAATTTGTAACAAACTTAGAGCTTATGATATGTATGCTCCAGCTTCAGGGGAGTACTAAAGATAGCACAAGATGCACCATTAAGTGGGGTTGATTTTATTAGGATTTGATTTGTAATTATACACTAACCCAATTATTCACTTGTAATTACTATAAATTCCCGACCAAGCTTGAGGGAACAATCAAGCTTCTCATTCAGAATTCTTTCCAGTTCTTCAGTCTTAAAAGACTTAGTGAGTTTTTGGAAAGCTGCGACAATGACCAACTGAACCCCGAGTGAATGCGCTAGATGTCTATCGTTTTTTCAAACTGCTAGTACTGTCTTAGAGTGAGAACCCAGTCCATAGCTTTACTTACCAGTTATCTATCGATTGCCTTCCCTTCCATTACCTTAAAGTTCAATCAGAAGCCTAGAAAAAAGAGTGTACCTACCAATCCAATAAGCAGATAGAGTAGAAGAGAAGGCCCGGAATAGGTCTACCATGCAAGATAGCAAAGATCCTTTAACCAGATGACCTTTTCACAATGCAAACATGAAGCACAAGATGAATAAGAATTCAAAGCCACTGGTTCTAAGCCTCCTAATTTCCATGAACAGATTCCTTGTTTACATTAAAGAAGTGTATTTTCACTACTTTCCATAATGTCTCACATGTGAAATGTTGTGAATATACAAAATATTTGTTTTCTTTAGGAAAAATGATTTAAATCAACATTAAACATTAGTAAACATCTCTTGTTGTTTATTATTTCTTTAAAAAAGTTAAACTAATCGATTTCAAACATGATTAAAGATTTAACCATAGCCTTAAATTAGAGCCACTCTATTACTAGACACCTTGCACATTAGAAGTCAAATTAACAAATTAAAAGGAAAATAAGAGTTCATGGGATAAAAACTGACTCCTTGATAAAAAAAATTTAAAACACATTCGCAAGATAGTACTCCCTCCGTCCCATTTTATGTGAAGGTGTTTGAATGGACATGTAGTTAAGAATTTAAAGAAGACTTTTCACAGATAAGCCATCAAAATTATATCAAGAACAGCAAACCCAGTGTAATCCCACAGTTGGGGTCAGGGGAGGGTAATGAGTATGCAGACCTTACCCTACCTTGTGAGGGTTGAGAGGCAATTTCCGACAAACCCTCGACGACTCAAGGAGGGAAGAAAAAGAAGCAGTAACAAGCAGCACCAACAACAAGATAAAATGATAAGAAAATTGAAGCGAAAGAAATAACAGGTAGTAATAGAAATCTACGAATAAGAAACTATGAAAATAATATTAATACTACTGGTAGGAGAAAGAGATGCGCTCGACTACCTACTAACTAACTACCCTAATTCTCGGCCTCCACACCCTCCTAATCAAGGGTCATGTCCTCGGTCAGCTGAAGTTGCGCCATGTCCTGCCTAATCACTTCTTCCCAATATTTCTTTGGCATACCTCTACCTCTCCTCAAGCCCACCATGACCAACCTCTCACACCTCATAACTGGGGTATCAATGCACCTCTTCTTCACATGCCCGTACTATCACAGTCTCGCTTCCCGCATCTTGTCCGCCATGGAAGCCACGCCCACCTTGTCCCGAATAATTTCATTCTTAATCTTTCTTTCTAGTATGCTCACACACCCATCTCAGCATCCTCATTTCCATACGTGCAACTTCTGGACATGGGAGTTCTTGACTGGCCAACACTCTGGTAGAACTTATTTTAAATCTCGATGGCACATTCTTATCACACAAAACACCGGATGCAAGCCTCTATTTCATCCACGCCGCACCAATACGATGAGCAACATCCTCATCAATTTCTCTATTACCTTAGATAACTAAACCCAAGTACTTGAAACTTCCTCTCTTAGGGATGACTTGTGTATCAAGCCTTCCATACATGTCCGCTTCATGGGTCCTGTCACTGAACTTGCACTCCAAGTACTTTGTTTCTGGTCCTGCTCAACTTGAAACCTTTTGACTCAAGAGTCTGTCTCCAAACCTCCAGCCTCGCGTTAACTTCGCCCCGCATCTCGTCAATCAGTACTACGTCATCTGCAAATAGCATGTACCATGGCACCTCCTCTTAAATATGACGTGTCAGTACGTCCATCGCCAAGGCAAATAAAAACGGGCTAAGAGTTTATCCCTAGTGCAACCACATCACTACTGGGATGTGTTCCGAGTCTCATCCCATGTCATTACCCGAGCCTTAGCTCCATCATAATTTATACATGTCCTTAATCACCCTAGTGTAAGCTACAGGTACACCTCTAGCCTCCAAACATCTCCATAGCACCTCCCTTAGGACTTTGTCTTATGCTTTTTCTAGGTCAATGAACACCATATGCAAATTCCTCTTATTCTACCAATACCGCTCCACCAATCTCCTCACAAGGTGAATAGCTTCAGTAGTCGATCGCCCCAGCATGAATTCGAACTGGTTCTCAGAAATAGACACTCTTCCTCACCTTCACTTCCACCACTCTCTCCCAAACTTTCATGGTGTGGCTTAGCAGCCTGATACTCCTATAGTTATTGCAATTTTGGATATCACCCTTCTTCTTGTAAAATAGAATCATCGTACTTCACCTCCAGTCTTCGGGCATCTTCATAGTCCTAAAAATCACATTAAACAACCATGCAAGCAACTTCAAGCCTGCCCTACCCGCGTTCTTTCAAAATTTCACTGTGCTTTCTTCTGGCCCGGTCACCCTTCCCCTGTTCATCTTACGCATAGCCCCCTCAATCTCCTCAACCTGTATACGCTTACAATACCCAAAATCTCTACGGCGTCAAGTATCAAAATAATTCTTTACTGGTGAGAGTTTCACATGTCTTTCGTTTCTCTTTCCTTACAAACAATGAACTTTTATATAAAGTAATATCCCGTTTAGATTAGCTTAATGAAAGTAGCTTTTAAGCACTTGGGCTTAAAAGCACTTTTGAAGTGCGGGAGCTTAATTTAAAAAGAAGCAGTTACGTGTTTGGCTAGAAATGCTGGAGCTGAAAATAAGCAGTTGATATGTTTAGCAGAAAAGCTAATAAGCACTATTTTCTATTAAAACGACTAAAATGCCCTTAAAGCTATTAGCACTAAAAATGATTTTATTATTGTAGGATTTTAATTCTAAATTTATTCTAGTACAAACTAATTTATGTCGCAATTTAGTAAAAATTCTAAATTTATTAGACAAAATTATTTTAATTTAGAGAGGTTTTTTTCACTTTTAACAGAATTAGAACACCCGTGTATGAAACTATTAAAAGGTATCGTTCTTTGAATTTTTGTCGAAGAAAGAGCATATATAACTCGTCAAGCTTAAAAATTGCTTATAAGATAAATCCTACTCTAAAGTGTGTAGATGGAGTAAATGAACGTATCTTTTTACCACAGCCTCTGCTTCACATAGTTGCCTATGATGAACAGTCATAGCTTACCCGCCCCGGCAGGTGTGGTGGCGACTCCGCTATAGAACACTTCGCCAAATCGAGAGCAATTGTAGCTATTCACCCCTTCTAGTTCTAGTGAATTTCGCTCCAAATAGCATAAAAAGAAGCTTGAGTTCAATTAGGGGGGAGTTGAGATGGGAAGTATAGATAGAAAGGCAGAAAAGGAGGCGTCGGCTCTGACGATTCAATCTATTCCGGCTATTCTCTCAATCCTTACTCTTTATCCCCATCTTCGCCCAGGCTAACGGGTCCTTACTCATTTAGGGGGAGCCTCGAAAAGCACTGTTGAGAGGAAGATCCTTGGCCAGTCTTCATTCTCTACAGGATTCCAAACCTTTCTTCAACATATGTGACAACGAGCCAGGCAGTAAATATTGTTGCCATTTTCTTTTGCAACCGTCGACAACATTTGTTTTCTTCCTATCTTTGCAAATTTCACTAATTCACTGAAATGGAATTCACAAGAAGATGGAGAGAAACTTCACGAAATGGTATTAGACCTGAAAGCAATGGCAATGACAAGAGATAGGCCGAGAGGAAGAAAGACGGGATAGAATTGTACTTTATTTGGTCAAACCCCAAGTGTTTTTTAAGCCAAAAAGCAACAAGTTAGGGTGGCTAACTTATAGCTTTTGCCTTGTTTTGAGTTCTTTCATCTTAAAAGCACTTGGCTTAAAAGTTATTTTAAGTTTGCCAACACTCAAGCAAGAGAAAAATGCTTTTAAGTTGGTTTGACTAGCTTTTAAGCCAATTTGAATACCCTCTAAGTCCCAACAAGTCATGTCACAAAGGGTAAAATGGGGATGTAAGATTAACTAGTTTCCAGGAAGAGAAAGGTCTCGATTTTGGGGACAAACTAAAATGAAGAAGTGTCACATATTATGGGACGGAGGCAGTATTATCTAGGAAATCGGAAACCTTAAATTCTCAATTATGATGTTCATGGAATGAATCCTATGAAGTTGGAGTCAAACAACATTGATAAGTTTCACATTTTAAGATACAAATCTTGCATTCTTAAGGTTTGGGAAACCACTAAACAAAGATTGAACATGTAGGAGGATCTGAATGAACTCTGCTCATTTCCCCCGTATGGAGTGTTCTGCTTCTTTGCTTCAATATCATTTGAGAAAGAAGCTCTTCCACTTCAGTTTGGTGTGATTAAAATGATATGCTGGCATGTAAGTTAAATGAAATGCTATAAACCATTTGATTTTTTGTACTTTAACTGTTTCTTGGAAACACTAATATGCTAAACAATGTTTTGTAACAGGATATCACAACTACTTAAAGCTCTTCTAACAGCTCTGTAGCTCTTCAGTCCACCAAAAATTATATTGTGATAAGTAAATATTTCATTCAAACACAACAGCTATTGTTATTCATGTAAAGAAGCTAGGATAGACTAAATGATAAAGGGACAGAATGATTCTCACCATCTTTGGTAAAGAAGGGCTCTTCCTGTCCATTGCATTATAGGATAGTAATGCCTTGGTTTCCTGTTGCATCTTGAAACTCTGGAGGGCTGACATCTTGTGTTGTTTACCAGTCACAAGGGCCTCACACTGATTCTTTACTTGATCATAGGGTATCGGTGTAGAGGAAAGAGGGAAGTTTGCAACTTGTCGGGCACTTTCCAGAACCTACATGTGCAACAGCTAGTGTTATGCACAGTGGTGAAGCCAGAAAATTTAGTAAGGGTGTTCAAACTTTGAAGAGATAAATAATTTCTTTTAGATGAATTGGTGCAACGAAAATTTTAAATCAAACTACTCTCCCCTTTGCATTTTATATGACCTTATTTCCTCTTTGGTTTGATAAAAAACGAATTTCTCATTTCTAAATTAAATATAGAACAAATTAACTTATACTTCCTTTTTATCATTAACAACAACAACCCAGTAAAATCCCATAAGTGGGGTCTGGGGAGGGTAGAGTGTATGCAGACCTTACCCCTACTCCGGAGTGGTAGAGAGGCTATTTCCGAAAGACCCTCGGCTCAACATTTTTACCATTAATGCAAGCTTTTATAGCCACTTATAGCATATTTAGGACAACAAGCTTCAAATATCTTATAACCATACAGATGTTCTGGTATACTGTATTTAAGATAACAAGTTGCCAATCTTTTTTCTTTATTAAACTACATGCCTAGTTAAATAGTTTCACATAAATTGAAATAAAAAGAATAGGTAATATATAATTAAATCATAAAAACACTTGTAATGGAACTAATAATTGTATAAATTAAAATAACATAAATAATAATACACAAAGTATAGTTACTATCACCTATATGAGCAGACCAGTACGAAAGGAGAAGTACAGATGCCCCAGTCAGGAGGTGTGAGAGGTTGGCCTTGGGGGTAAGAGGAAGGGTAGAGGTAGGCCAAAGAAGTCTTGGGGATAGGTGATCAGGCGGGACATGGCGCAGCTTGAGCTAACCGAGGACATGACCCTTGATAGGAGGGTGTGGAGGTTGAGAATTAGGGTAGAAGGTTAATAGGTAGTCGAGCATTTCCCTTTGTCTTCCTTAGTTCAATAGTATTAGTGTTTGTATGGTATCCCTTTTATCCTTAGTTTGCTATTACCACATATCTTGTACTGTTATTACTTGCCATCAGTACTCCCTTACTTTGCTATCAATACATATCTTGTACTGATTGACGAGACGCGAAGTGGTGTTAACGCGAGACTGAAAGTTTGGAGACAGACCCTAGAGTCTAAAGGTTTCAAGTCAAGTAGGACCAAGACAGAATACTTGGAGTGTAAGTTCAGTGACGGGACTAGTGAAGCGGACATGGACGTGAGGCTTGATACACAACTCATCCACAAGAAAGATAGTTTCAAGTACCTAGGGTCTATAATCCAAGCTCATAGAGAGATTGACGAGGATGTTACACATCGTATTGGTGCTGGGTGGGTGAAATGAAGGCTCGCATCCGGTGTCTTATGCGATAAGAATGTGCCTCCTAAACTTAAAGGTAAGTTCTACGGAGTAGTAGTTAGACCGACTATATTGTATGGGGCAGAGTGTTGGCCAGTCAAGAATTCTCATGTCCAGAAAATGAAAGTAGCAGAAATGAGGACGTTGAGATGGATGTGCGGGCATACCAGGATTGATAAGATTAAGAATGAGGATATTCGGGCAAAGGTAGGAGTGGCCCCCATGGAGGACAAAATACGGGAAGCGAGACTTAGATGGTTTCGACATGTGAAGAGGGGAAGCATAAATGCCCGATAAGGAGCAGTGTTATCAAAGGCGAAAAGCGCAAAAAAGCTCCAAGGTCCGTTGGGGCTTTAAGCGCAAAGCGTAAATAAAGCGTGGGCTTTAAAGAAAAAAGGCGCAACTAGAGAAAGAGTAAAAATATGTATATGTAGTCTAAGACCAATAATTATAGGCATGAATAACAAATATATGGACAAAGAAATTGAAAAAAAATTACAAAGTGAAATATCAATTATTTAGTGTCGCCTTTTCAGAATTACACTCATTGGCAAGGGAAAGTATGGCTTAGAGGCGAGGCGAAGCGCTCAACTGTTTTGAGTCTCGCTTCAGGGCTTAAGCGCACTTTAAGATGGCCTTTAACAACACTAATAAGGAGGTGTGAGAGGTTGTCCTTAGAAGGTCTTAGGAGAGGTAGAGGTAGGCCGAAAAAGTATTGGGGAGAGGTGATTAGGCAAGATATGGCTTTGCTTCAGCTGACCGAGGACATGACTCTTAATAGGAAGGTGTAGAAATCGAGAATTAAGGTTGTAGACTAATAGGTAGTTATGCGAGTTTCCGGACATTTCCAGTGTTATTAGTGGCAGTTTTGTATTCTAATTATACGGATTTCTATCTTCAAGTTGTTCCTTTCGCTTTGTTTTATTTTATCTTGGTATCGTTATTGCTTGTTGCTACTGTTCTTTTCTCATTTTTTCTCGTGCCAAGGATCTACTGAAAACAGCCTTTCTACATTCACTGCAGGGGTAAAGTCTGCGTACTATCTACCCTCCCCAGACCCCATCTGTAGGACTACTGGATTTGTTATTGTTGTTGTTGATATGGACTACGTACTCTAAAAATAGTGCATATAGAATGACATGTCACATGAGATAATCAATTTCATTAACTAAGAGATCCTACAAATTGAAATGCGCCTAAAGTCATAATTTCAACTGCATTATTCTCAATTCCTCCTTTTCTTTTCTTCTATTTTTTTATTTTTTTATAAAGGAATAAAGTTTTATTGAATATTTGGGCCCATATCTAGGAGGTATATCAAAAAGTAGAAAAACTACAAAAGAGATTGGATTTTTTATGAATGACCCAATTTTGTATACCTCATGGGTGCACCAAATAGAAATAATGAATAAGAGGCTATTCCTTAGCAGTGCAAAAATTATTTTCTACCCTTCAAAAGCTCTCTTATTTCTCTCTCTCCAAACGACCCACATAAGCGCAAGTGGAGCAACCTTCAAGGCCATTCGTCTTCTCCTCCATCTTCAGAGTTCCAGCAAAATAACACATATTTCATAGTGCATGGCATCACCAAATATATTCCAAACCATCTCAAGAATTTACACCTAACCTAGAAGCTACCCAACAATGTAAAAGGAGATGATCCACGTGAGGTAGGTAATCTTCCTCTTGCTCAAACTCTCTGCATCAAGATCACCCCTCTTGCTGCTAGCCAAGTGAAAGAACACACCTTTCTCAGTGCCTTAGGAATCCAAACAAAGATATATGGAAAGGCAATCTCCAACTTGATCAAAAGCTTCTCATAATATGACTTCAAAAAAAACTCCATTATTCCCTCCCCCCCCCTCTCCCTTCCCCCTCCCCTCGAGATATCATGGCAATCATGTGGCGTGCTTTGTTGTGACGCAGTTCAATCAGGTTTTAGAATTCTATCCCTTCCCAATAACTAAAATTCCTCTTTTTCTTATGTAATGCTCTTGTAAAGGCATAGACAGCTTTAAGCATGTCCCCCATGTGTCTATGACACAAGCTGCCTACTTTAAATTATTCTTTTGTTACTTGACCTTGGTAACATGAGCGATCAACAAAATGATGTATACTACCACAAAAGGTATTCTTACCTTTTCTCTTTCATGTGGTGATGCTAGATGTAGTGAATTTAAGAATCCTTAAAGGACAAGGAACAGCTGTGACAATATACATACTGCTCTTTGTTAAAAATATCAGGTGGTTAATTTCTTCTCCAGAAGAAGCAAAATCTTAGTGACTCCTTTTCTATCAGTTTAGTGATTTAAGTGTCAAAGAAAAGACAAGCAGAGAATCGCATATTGTAATTGATGGATTTGTAGCTCATTTATAATTCAGCCAATAGGAAAAAAACTTATTTCATCAATATGACCTTAATTGCCAGGAAAAATGAAAAAAAAAAAAACAGCTAATGCAGCGGACCATCATCTTTCTGAGCGATCCAGGAACAGAGGGCAACCAGTTAGTGTTCATGCTACAGTGAATCTCATGCATAAAAAGATTGCTGCCATGTGACCAGGAGGTCACGGGTTCAAGCCGTGGAAACAGCCTCTTGCAGTAATGCAGGGTAAGGTTGTGTACAATAGACCATTGTGGTCTGGCCCTTCCTCGAATCCTGCGCATAGCGGGCGGGAGCTTAGTGCACCGGGCTGCACTTGTTTTTACGAGGTAGGTATAGAAGTCTTATCAGAGTGCAGTTTCTTATTAATTATGCGACGAGACATAGTGAAATAATCCTCAACTTTTTTAAAATTAATATTCTTGATCGAGAAGTAGGAATTAAGGTTTGTCTGAGATTATAGCTCATAGAGCCTTCTTCTTGTAAGTAGAACCAGGGATAGCCGTGCAAGTATTCGACATCTGATTAATGATTTTTTCCTTTTAGATTTCATGTTGTTTACAAGAACTTCTAGGGTTTCCCTAAAAAGAAAACCCTCCTTAGGCAATTTTTGGGAATCCTAGTTTGTTTATAACTCATAGAGCCTTTCTTATTAGCAGAACTAGGGACAACTTTGCAAATATTCAACCTTTATGGTTAATGATATTCTTTTAGCTTTCATGTGCTTCACAAGAACTTCTAGGGTTTGCCAATATTAGCCCCTCCCAAGGCTTTTCTCTTGGTTTACCTCCAATAGACTTGGGTCATAACATGATTCAGAATAAACCCCTGCGTACTGTGCTTCCTCTTCATCAAACCGGTATTAGAACTGAAGATGGTCTACCCCATTTAAGGACAAACTGGACATGCAGTGCTCCCACTCAAGAGGAGGAAGCACCAAAATTCATCTGTATAAAATTCAAGAGATTCATTTATTCCTTAAGAGAGTGGAGGGACTTCAAGAGGCATTTGGGAGGCTCCCCAAAGAGTATAATGTGCTCAAAGTGATGGTCAAGGAGGAGGACCAAAGTTAAAGTAGTCCAAGTGAAGACCGGGAAGACCAAGGTTGACCTTTGGCCATTGACAATTGACTTAGACCCGGGTGGACTAAAGTTGGAAGTTACCGGGATCTCGAAATTATCGGCCCATGATCATGTAGTGGTTATCATTTTCCATCTTTGACTTATTTTAGTTACTTGAACTTAGCCTTGTTATATTTTAGGTTGTACCAAACGGGTTTGGCCCAATACTTAGTACTAATATAAATAGCTTTAGGTTAAGAGTCTTGGACACAT